CAGGAGGGTGCTGGGGGTCTGGGCGATGAGCTCTGCCTGCATTTGAGAAAAAAGCAGCCCAGTGGTGCTGCAGGCAGCAGAGCCCCACACCCAGCTGTGGCAGCAGCAGACAGTGAGTCAGCTTCCTGCTGGGCTTTCCACACGGAGGGAAGGTCGACGGAGGACTGGCAGGAACAAGCCAAGGCAGGAATTCCTCCTGAACACCAGACAATATCATAATTTCCTCCTCTGCCACGGGTCTGGCACATGGCTGGGAGGCAGACAGGCCTGCATGCCCTCGCTGCTGGCAGTGAGGATCTGCCAGCCTTGCTCTCCTATCACCTGCAAGGAGGTGAGCTGTGACACCTCAGCTATTGGTGCCACATCCCCAGTGGTGCATCAAAACCACACTCATAGGGTGGGGAGCTGATCTCCTTCACCATCATCCCTGGGATGATCTCACTTGGGAGAGCTGGCAGCAGAGGCAAGATACTTTGGACCCAGCTGGGGGCATGGGGAGGCATGGATGCAGGAGGAGGGCAGCCACTGCAGCCCCTGCTGGCAGGTCTTGCTCCTTTGCCAGCATCATCAGATCCCCCCTGGCTCAAAGCACATCACTCAGAAGGGCTGCCCGGTGCTGCACAGAGCAATCAGGAGAAGGTTCTCCAAAGGGTAGGAACTACTGAGAAGCAGTGACCAAAAATCAAGCTTGTCCCCTTGCAGAAGTGGCTTGACCCTGGCAGAGCACCAGACACTGAGGCGCTGTCCCACCACACACTGCCCATGTGTGAGGGGAAGAGGACACACAGCAGGGCAAACACTGTCCCCACAGCCCTCGCCCCCTCCCTGCTCCAGTTTCACAATTGCTTAAAATAGGCTTAAAAATGACCAGTTCCTCCCTTCTCCTGTTCCCAGCCTGCAGGGAGCCCAGCCACAGCTCAGACCTGGGCAGGATCTGGTCAGACCAGCTCAGGGCTCACACTGCCCCAGTTCAGCACAAAGCTGTGGACCTCCCCTCCTTTCCCAGCACTTGCAAGCCAGCCCTATCCCTGCAAGGTGAGGATGGCGGCAGTCAAAGCCATGCTGAAGCTCTC